TTTATCTGCAATAATATTTAATTTCGACATTAAATTTTTAACAGTTAAGTCGAGTTTTTCATTTTTTTGTACAATTTCATTATTATATGATTTTATATCATCCTCTAATTCATTTACTCTTTTAATTCGATTAACATTGTCGGAATAATCTTGATTCGAAAATACAGTTACTTCAGTATTTTCATAAGAAAGTTTAGGAGAGGTTTTTTCAGACATTTTGTTTGACAAAAAATATTTTTTTTATTTTTATTTTTTGAGATAAATAGAGTGCCTTTAAATACTTTTTCAATATTGATTAAAAAAATTGAAATGTAAAACTTCTCTATTAATAAAATTATAACCATCTTATCTATATAATATTAATCCTTTCGAAACTGTATAAATAGTGTCAACATCTGGTTACAATTTGATAGGTTTTATTAAAAACAATATTATTTGAAAAGAAGTGTATTAAATTTTAAAATGAGTCATCGTATATTAGATAATATGACTGATCAATTTTTTAAAAAATATTATCATATACTCTCGTATATTCCAGGAGTTGGAACATTTTGTGCTGTTTCGAAAATGATTTTGTATGGATTTCATGGAGATACATTAGAATCATTTGAAGATGTTGAGATTGGAATACTTTTAGATGCAGCTTTTCCTGGAAAAGCTAAAATATCGATTCTTGTTGCGATAGACACAATATATGATGATGGAATTGAATATCTGGAAAAAAAAAATACTTGAAGATTCTGAAGAAACTTTACATGATAGATTAGAACAAAAAATTAGTAGTTTACAACAAGCACCTAGAAAAACTATTGTTTATGATGATAGAGATAAGATCAATTTTAAAAATGAACACTGTGTGTTTATAAATAATGAAGTTGCAATACAAGATCAGATAGCTGGTCGTTTAAGAATTATATTTCAACTCAAAATGTTAGAAGGATCAAGTTTTTACGGTTATATTACTTATTCACCGTATATCGAGAATCAAATGGTAATCATGACATTTCCAGACAATGAAAAAGTTTCTCTATTTTTAAATTTTGATATAAATGATCCGAAAACAAAAATTAATTATATTAAAACTATCAATGGGGTATTATCATTTGATAGAGAAACTGGTATATATTCTTTCGGTAAAGATCAAGATTATTATTATTATGAATTTTTCATGGTAGATTTACAACATCTAACATCTGGAGAAATTATTATTATTATTATTTTTTTAATATTAAGGTGACCACTTAGGCCCCTGGCACTTTATTAGTTCAAACGGGTGGGCTGTTCAAAGACAGCTTACATATTATATCAGTATAACGAGAGTACAACTAGTCACATATACAACTTTTGGTTGCCTATTTAAGTAGTCTGCCCGAAGCGTTAGTGCTATGCTAAGGGTTCTACACTAGCTGTCAT